GAGAGGGCAAGGCGACGGGCAGCAGGCAGGCCAACCAAAGTCATCCCGGCAGCATTTGTCGTGGGAGAGCTGTCAACCTGGGCACCTGCAACGACAAAGACCCTCTGGCTGAATTGATCCTTGTGGTCGGAGCCGGGCACTCCTTCACGCTCGTAGGCCTCCTTTGCAGCCCTCAACAGGCGCTCGCTCTCAGAGGTGCGGGTGGCAGCAGGGCTCTCAGGGCCAGGGCTCCTTTCACAGGAAATGCAGAAGAGGTCATCTATGATGACGCCACAAGATCGAAGAAGACCCTCATGCCCCGCACAGGCAAATTCCACGCCGGCGTGGTCGCCTTGCAGCAAACTCAGGAAGGTGCCGTGCACCGGGAGGTCAGCAGACGCAAGAACGGAAGCCGGCCGGAAAACGGAGCAGACAGCAGCGTGTGAACGGAGGGCGTCATCGGCCTTAGCCAAGAAAGCAGCATATGCGTGAGTCCCGTAGAAGACCGGCCCAATGGCATTCGAGCGGCCCCTGCTCTCACTGACCTTTGCCTGATGGTAAAAATCCTGGCGGTCGACACAGGACCCAAAGAGCGCACACGACGGAAGGGGGCACGAAAGCCGAGTGAGAAGGCTGCCGGCTGGAAGCCGGGAGGACGGACCTCCCACAATCCGGGCTTCCTTGTTATTCACATTTCGGTGGTTGTCGATCTGTCTGTCCCTTCCAGGGTCTTTGTAGGCCCCGAAGATGCGCACCAGGTCGGTGGTATGCAATGGGCCCTGCAAGATGCCTAAAAGCCCTAAGGAATCCCACTTCCTAAAAAGCCCAAGGGTCTGGTTCCTAGACTCGTGCTCGAAACTAGGTCGGGGCCCAGGTGCTCCTCGAGAGGCCAGGAGCCAGTGCCCGACAGCGCAATGCGGCCTGAATCTAAATCCCTGTAGGGAGCCAGCTCCTCAGGGCCACCAGGAAGGTGAGGCACAAGCGGGGCCCCAAACTCGGGCACAGAGGCAGCGCGCCCTACTTTCCCAAAGTAGCAGTTCTCATCCAGGCCCGCGGCCCTCAAGAAGTGAAGCACTTCAGCATGGCGGGCAGCAAGCTGGATGCCTCGACGGCCCGACGTGAGAGTGGAACCTCCCAAGCGGGCACACGCCTTCACAAGCTCCATCAGACGGTGCAAAGCTGAGGCTTGCAACTCTGAGGGAGGCCTCCGCAAGCATGCTGGCGGTATGTGCTTCCCCCCGGAGTGGAGGAAACTCAGAGACATCACCAGCACGTGGTGGGCAACCCGAACCAGGTAGGGCAGCCTGCGCTTCTGGGAGCGCTTGCGGGACCGCTTCAAGAACAGGCCGTCGGCCGGCAGCGGAAGCGGGAACAAGGCGGTAGCGACCTCCAAATTGGGATCGCGGCACAGGGGCAGTGTGGTACTCAGAAAATGGCCGAAGGCGGTCCCACTTTTCAGGACCAGTCTGACCAAAGAAGAAGACCAAAGGCAAAAGTTGAATTCGCGGCCCGGCAGGAAAGGCGAGTCATCAACCGGGTGGTCGGCATGCACGGGCGAGGGCGTGTCAGCAGCCACGCGCTTTGCGGCCCAGGCTGCCGCACGCGCCTGCTTCTTGGTCAAAGCTTCTTGGTCGGCCTTCGGGGGGATTTGGGACCTCCGGCAGCACATGCGGTGGCTGAGGGTGCTTGCGCGGCGGCTGCAGCTCGGCCCTCCGGGTCGTGATGGCCTCCACTTCTTTCATGTAGGAGAGGCCTGTCGTGACCCACTTCTGTTCCGCCAGCGGAGAGAATGCCCTGGCAGCCGGGCCGGCTGACCCAGACACGTCTTGGAAAACACTGGCCGGCAAGTCGGGCTGGAGGCCTAGCACCCACGCAAAGGTAAAGTCTCCTCCGTCGAGGTTTGCCTGGTCAGGACCATTTAGCCGTCGCCGTCATCCACGCCAACAGGGCCAGATTCCGCTGCTTCGAAAAGGCACCGTACCTTTCCAGATACCTGATCATGGTGGGTGAATCGGGAGCCACCATGCCTGAAGGGTCCATCCGAAGGCAAGCGTTCTGGCGGATCCTCCTCGAAAAGCCCCCGGCGAGGCCTGAAGCTCCTGTTGCAACCGCTGTCGACCGGCCGCTCCTCTGACCGAAGTGGCCGAGGGGGCATCCAGCAAAGGATCCGAAGAGTTCTGAGCAAGCTGGGAGACGAGGCTGACCAGGGCCTGAGATTGGGCCAGCACTGCAGACGCGAGGGTGGGCTCGGCGTCGCCTCCAGCAATGGTAGCGGCCAGGGCTGCCTCGTGATCGACCATAGGCGACGGAGTCTTGGGAGCCTGCCGGCGGCACAACAGCGGGGCCCTGAGCCAGGGAGTTGCCGCCCGCTGCTGCTGGAAGCAAGGAGGAGAGCTGCGAAGCCAGCCCCCGAACCAACTCCTGTAGATTCGCCTGCTCTTGGGCAAGGGAGGCCACGGTGTGCCGCTTGGGCTTGGGGTTTGGCGGTGCTGGATCCTCGACCGCCGTTTGGTAGCCAGACCTCAGGTCGCCTAGCGCTTCGGCCGCCCACTCCTGAGTTTGGCGTAGAACGTCCGAGGCAAGGGGGAAGAGGCCCGGATCCTCCTGCATGAAGGGAACACCTCCAAAGGCTGTCAGCTCGGGCACGGAGAGCGCCCCCACAACGGACGCGGGCAGGTCTATCACCAAAGCGGCCACAAGCTCCCCAGACTCGGCCACACGCCACTCTCCTTGGCCGCTGAGACGGACAGCCGGGGCCATCAGCTCGAGAGAGGGCCCAATACCTGCCGCCTCCTCGTTGGACTGCCCTGCAAGCGTTTCCCCCTCCGACAAGTATCCCAAAGGCAGGCAGAGGATAAACCCGGCAGGGCGCTTCATAACCACATAAGATATGCATGTCAGCGGCTCACCGTCGGCATCCGGAGCGGCCGGGAAAGGCCATTGAAACTCCAGCAGGGTGACACCACCTGCCTCCACAGAGGGGAGATCACTGAACTCCATCACGCAGCTGGGAAGTCAAGCTGCGCACCTGCAAAGTAGAGCCTGGCCTCAGCCTCGGAGGGGAAGCCGTGCGACACAGAGCCGCCCGGGCGCAGTTCACCCACAACGGACTTGTAGGCTGCGAAAGTCCTTACCACACACGGTCTATCAAGACCCTCTGCGGAGAGTATGCAATACAATCTGTTGGGGAGACCGACGGACCCAAGGCTATTCGGGGTAGAGACCCGCTGATCCAAGACGGCCCTGGCCCAGCAGCCAGCTTCCCAAGCCCTCAAGGCCCTCAACCGCCAATCGAGGGAGCCTCCGTGAAGGTTCCGGCACGTGTCCCGGAGCTCAACAGTCAGCGACGGAAAGGAGGCCTTGATCTGGGACCTTGACTCCGGAGAGCCCTGCAAGGGGTACTCTGGCACACGCAAAGGTGAGGAAAGCAAGGATCGAGGACCGGTTCTGGCAGCCTGCTTCGGAGCAGCAGGGGTCTGGTCCGGAGGCGAGCCGGCCCGGGAGGAAGGCGTGGGCCCCGGAGGGCCAGGCAAGGGGGACTCTGGCACCCAAACGGGGGAGGAAGCACGAGAAAGCCAAGGTGCAGAAGGCGACCCAACAGCAGAAGGAGCCTCACCCAAGTCCAGGGGGGCACGGGGCCCGGAGGCCTGCAAGGGGTAAGGAGCTGGCAAGACAGCCGAGGAAGAGTAAGGAGGTGAAGGCTCGGTAGAGCCTGGGAAATCCACAACCTCGAAAGATGAGGCAGAAGATTCCAAAGACTGGCCCGAAGATGCAGGGAGGGGTGCTGCTTTGGGAGGGGCTTTACTGACCGAAATCCTATAACCACTTATTTCCAAATGCAGGTCACCGTCCATGCGCGTAGGCAGCGAGCCTCCTGTTCGCTCCCGTCGCCCTCGGACGACTGGCTGGTGGCTCCGGAGCAGGAGCCTGGGCCACCACCAATTTGCAGTTGTACCAAGAAGCAAAGGCCACCAAGGTGACCAGAACCCCCAGCAGAAAAGCCGCAAAAAGGCCTCCTAGGCCAGGTCCTCTGCAATGTCCAGGGCACGCCAGGCCCCACCAATTTGAATCGGAACCTTCCTGAAGCAAGCCCAGGATGTTCCGAAGCAGGCCCAGGTTCATGAACCCTTAAAACCCCGGGCTGCAAAGATCTTGAGACGGAACATCATTCGGCACTCGCTTCTATGCATCAAAAGCCTCTTAGAATTTTTCTATATGCGATACGCAGGACATGAATACATGTATGACAACGCCAAGAAGCCAGGAAGCCGAGAAGCCAGCGAATCCAAGAAGCCAAGAAGCTGGAAAGCCAAGAAGGAAAGCCCAGAAGTTAGAATGTGACTAAAATACGAAGCTCAGAAGGCAGGAAGCTGGGAATCCGAGAAGCCACGAAGCCGGAAAGCCAAGCCAAGGTGAAGAAGCCAGGAAGCCCAATAGTTTTAACGCTAACAAGGAAAATTTGGAAGCCAAGAAGACAGCAAAAACCAAGAAGCCAAAAGAATGCATCAAACCAGCAAGGAAAGCCCACCAAAAAACAAAACCGAAAAAGACCACAATTCCTTTACCATGCACCCTGAACTCATGAGGCTGGCAGCTGCTCAGATGTGAGCGGTTTGGACTTTACGCTCGCAGGGAGCTTTCCAAGGCTGGTGGTTTGAGCGCACTTCAAGGCTTCCAGAGTCCAGAGTGAAAAAATTGTTATGGTTCATTGCGGAGCTCTCGGTGCAAGGCGCGACCGGCATGCTCGTGTGATTCATAAGACAACCAGGAGAGCATATTCTGCTACGGAAATCTTCAGAAAGACTGCACCCCATACCAAAGTTGTAGTGCGATGCTTTCGGACCACAGGAACGCACGCCAGACATGACAATGAATAACACGTGGCACGAGTGCAACCGCGAAAGGCCAGCATACTGGAGGATGAACCATGGCCATCACCGCAGCGTAGCAGAGTGACAGACAGGAAAACCCAAACAAAGAACTACCCTAAACCCACGAAAAAAGAGATACGAGGCCCCTGCAGCTCTCCGACCACGCGCTTGAGAACTTCCAACCAACTCCGGAGGTCCTCCAGCAGAAGCAGATAGCCCCCTTGGGGTGCTTTAGGGATTCAGAGTCTTGGGGATTCTGTATGGCTAAGGCCCTGCAAGGATTCCTGGATGGATTCAGAGAGTCAGGTTTTGTGGTCGCAGGGTTTTGCACAGGCTCGTTGGAGTATGGATCGTTGGGCTGAAAGCTTTGGGCCAAGCTTTCAGGATACAGCACAAATCGTCGCTCGGGCTTTGCCGTTCAGGGTTTACTGCGAGCTTCAGGCCTACGGTTCCTGGGTTGCTTAATAGGATCCACTACCAATAAGCCAATAAGTCACCACAATAACCCCCCCTTTAAAATTCAGGTCTGGTGCCTAACACTCGGGATCAACACTGTTAGGATTCTGCCTCGGGATCTCGCTATTGGGCTTTGGTGAGAGAAAACAAAGCGGCACCGATCTGAAAGAATCTTGAGGACGTACTCTGCTGTACTTAATTAACTTCATTCCACCTATCGCTTTGGCATACCCTATCTCGGGTGTAGGGATCGGGATGGGGCCTTACGCTCTTTATGTAAGTTCCTATGTTACGTAGAGTGGAATGACCGCCAGACCACTATCGCCACAGTTTGGGGATTCTCGTTTTCGGGTTTAGACGGTATTTCGTTAACAGGCGTCCAAGGGCACTATCCTTTGAACGGGATCATAAATCCAAAAAACCCGGAAGCATCACCACATGTCCCCAACAATCGCCTGACCCGGAAACCGCGCATAAATTCGTTTGACAACTCCAGTGGAGGGTCTGCTCCCAAAGCGTTCAGGGTTTCGCACTGGGTTCAGAGAGCCTAGGACCTAGGCTTAGTGCCACAAGAACAACATGCAGAATAATCAAAATGAAGACAACAACAAGCCGAACAAGACAGCCACAAAGGCTTCGGGCTTTGGTTTCTGTTTAGACTTCAAGGTTCTGGGGTTTTGTGTTTAAGAAGTCAGGCAGGCGACTGCAATAGGATTTGAGACTTGAGACGTGCGGGTCTGCAAAATTGCCTCTAGCATTGTCCATGGCGTCTTCAGATCGAGGCAGATGATGGCTGCACAGAGCCTGGAAGGTACCAAGCAACCCCAAACCGAGCCTACGTGATTATGAGCATTATGAGTCAGTGGCTGTCTTGGTCTGTATAGTCGCAGGCCCTTAGCAGGGCTGGAAACGCTGAGGCCGTTAGCTTGGGGTTTTCAACTGCCCAGGCTTGTCAGGGTTCGTTGTAGAGAAAAGGATGCACCGGCAAAATTTATAATTTGGGCTGGGCTTCGGCACTATGGCATGAAGTTCGGATTCAGTGAGTGAGTGAGTGAGGGAGTGAGTGATCGTGTGCGTCAGTATGATTGCATGTGAATGCGAATGTAAGCATGAGTGTGCGTGTGAGCGTCAGTGTGCATGGCATGCGAGTGTGTGTCTGTGTAATTTACGTGTGCATGCGTGTGTGTGTGTGTGTGCTGTGTCTGTGTCTGTGTCTGTGTCTGTCTCTGTGTCTGTGTCTCTGTGTCTCTGTGTCTGTGTCTGTCTCTGTGTCTGTGTCTGTGTCTCTGTGTCTCTGTGTCTCTGTGTCTCTGTGTCTCTGTGTCTCCGTGTCTCTGTGTTGTCATTCTGTGTCATTCTGTGTCTCCGTGTCTCGGTGTCCGTGTGCGTGTGCGTGTGCGTGTGCGTGTGCGTGTGGGTGTGTGTGGGTGTGGGTGTGGGTGTGGGTGTGTGTGTGTGTCTGTCTGTGTGTGTGTGTGTGTGTGTGTGTGTGTGTGTGTCTGTCTGTGTGTGTGTGTGTGCGTGTGTGTCTGTGTGTGTGTGTGTGCGTATGTCTGTGTGTGTGTGGAACACCTGTTTGCCAAGGTTCGCTGATATGCATTGTTCGTGCAGGGTGCTGGAGTGCAACACAGAAGTCTCCAGCCAACGAAGACGCTTCTGTGTTTGCAGTGCAAACGTACCTGCAGTGGTGCACCTGGGGATAATGAATCCAGCTGGTGGCCACAACATGTCAGTGTGAGTTTCTTGCATGGCAATGGGGCCAAGCCATAAACCCCATATGTGATTTCTGTAAGGCCCGAGGTAAAGCCTAAATCCTCTAAAAATCCAACTCTCTGTGTGGTATGACTGATTCTGCAGATGCTCAGTCCAGAGGGAGGATTGCACGAGTGTGCTCTAGACGGCTTTCGTCGATCGTGTCGTCTACGGTAGGGTAGCCTACTGCCTGGCACTGATCGGCCCAGTCACAACAACGGACCCTGACCGGTCCAAGCCCTGATCGGCTTAAGCCCATTCAAGACCTCTTGGTCTCGACCGTGCAAATACTCTCCGGAGTAATCACATCTCAGTGTAAGGCCAGATCGCCTAGTTGCAGACAGGACTGATTCTTTTTCGTTTTACAACAGCCGTCAGTCTGATCAAGCAACTGTTCTCCCCTGGACAACTAATCTCGCCATGGCCTCCTGGTCATCATGGTCTACCAGCGAATCCAGCAATGGCTGAGACAACAGACAACAGTGGAACCGATGGAGCAAAGACGACAAATGGGACTCCAAGTACTCTGACAAATCGTGGGAGCATGTAGCCAGCCCCACGTACCAATCATTTACCTTGCCTTGTTTCCGATCAGCAGCACTATGATAAGACGCCTTTGGGCAAGGGTGCCCATGTGCTGCACAAGTTGGTGCAACCAACAGAGTGGTCCCGAAAGCGGGGTTGGCGGGCCGTGATGTCAGCGATATCCGTGCCTTTGAGCTTTCCCACCGAGGTCTTGGGGATTTTTCGTTCAGATTGTTGTCGGAAGGGAGGCACCAGAGCATCGTCTGGGCTCGAAGTGGCCAAGAATCGGTGCTCATTACTGCTCTGCTTAAGAAACTTCGTGAGAGTCTCTGTGTGTGTGTCTGTGTGTGTTTGTCTGTGTGTGTGCTGTGTGTGTGTGTGTGTGTGTCTGTGTGTGTGTGTGTGTGTGTCTGTGTGTGTCTGTGTGTGTGTCTGTGTGTGTGTGTGTCTGTGTGTGTCTGTGTGTGTCTGTGTGTGTCTGTGTGTGTGTGTGTCTGTGTGAGTGTGTGTGTGTGTGTGTGTGTGTGTCTGTGTGAGTCTGTGTGTGTGTGTGTCTGTGTGAGTGTGTGTCTGTGTGTCTGTGTGTCTGTGTGTCTGTGTCTGTCGGTCTGTGTCTGTGTCTGTGTCTGTATGTCTGTGTGTCTGTGTGTCTGTGTGTCTGTGTGTCTCTGCGCGTGTATCTGTCTGTGTGTGTGTGTGTCTGTGTGTGTGCGTGTCTGAGAGTGAGAGTGAGAGTGAGAGTGAGAGGTGCTTCCAGCTCTGCCGACTTTGCCACTATGGCTACTCTTACTAGAGCTGTTATCTCGTAGCGTAGCGTCCAGGGTTGGCGGGCTGTCGAGTCTTGAGGTTCCAGCAACAGGCTTCCAAAGGCAAAAGTGAAGAGGTACCGGAGTTTATGTCCACTGTGGTTTGACTGGCGATGCCAAGTCGCCTCCCAATATACGTCGGGTCTGAGCAAGAAACATAATTCAAGACAGCATACTGCAAGACACTCTGGATTCTCAAACCTGAAGCTCACTGAACAACCACATATCACTCACTGGTCTCGAAGCCATGGGCCCCACAACGAAATCACGACACACTGATCCCATAAAACACACCTGGAACACATTGATCGCACCAGGGCCCACGCTGCAGTGCCATGGGCTTCAACCGCGACAATAACAGCCGTTCGTGCACCACGTCCTATGCATCCATATCATGTGTTGCAGGGATCTGGGTGACGCGCGGGACAAACCTGCCGGAAAAGTTCTGAGGAAACATCTTTGCAAGGTATCATATCATGCACCTGAGGTTCCAGTCTACGGCCCAATTGGAGTTGAAGATAAGGTCGAGGGAATACCCCACGTAATTGGAAGCTCTACAGAGCAGATGCAAGCCACGGGTACTGGATTTGGGTTGAGGGGACGTGGGGCATTGGAATGAAATCTCTAAACTCTAAAGGGATTCAAAGTTGGAAGTTCGACATGACACCGGCACCTCCAAGATCAGGACCTTGGCATGAGGCTAGCTTTGGGATCGGGAAGAAGACGCTTTCACGGTGTATGTATAGGGTTGAAGTGGAGTTCAGATGAGGCAGGTCGGTGAGAGCAGGTTCGGCCAAGCTTTCGGTTATGGAATAGGCTGAGCTGAGTTCCATTCGATGAGACTCTTCGTCCCAAAACTGAAACGGAACTGTCCAAACGAACGCCGTTGCACAAACTCGCTACCATCTTCGAGAATCACCATACTGAACTTCACTGAACCGCAACACGACCCCCCTGCATCCAAAACCACAAACCAGGAAACATCTGTTGGGGTGTCCTGCTAAAGCCCAGCAGGCCCTCAGCGTGAGGCTCCCAACACAAACCGAAACCACAGGTTTGATTTCGAGACAGCATTGCGAAAGGGTTCCAAGCCAAATGTCCGAGCATGCTCAAGAGCCACCTACACGAAAGTTCTGAGACAGACCTACTTCACAGGTTGAAGCACCCAGACCCGGATAAGAAAGGACAAACAAAAACTATGTGCATAACTCCGGTGCCTGGCTTTGTCGACTTGCCCTACAACACACAAAGGTTTCGGTGCTGTCTGACTGTCTTGCTTCCTGCACAAAGGCAAACGAAACCCTAAAAGGCGCCGAAACCTCAACCATGCTCCCCAGGTGTCCGGCCGAGCAGGCTGCGGAGCAGTTAAAGTCTTGTCCTGCATGGGACATTTTGAAGGCTCAAGCTTCAAGGCTTCAAAAGCTGGAGATTCAGCGTTGCCCCGGTGGTTTGTGCATGGCTTTCGGACGTTCCAATAGCCTGCCCGGCATTCATAATTCTTGACCGTAGGGCTGGTGCCGTGTATTGCTCAATTGGCAACTGGCGATCAGGGTAATGTTCCGATGATAAGAAAAAGTCTATATGGATACTAGATCCGAGGTCGACAAGCATCTTTTCATTTCCACTGTGTCCAATTTGCAGCTTTGGGGGGGTCTCTACGAAAGCATGTCTAAACCAGCTGCGGTTCCTGTTGTACCGCCCCGAAAGCACTCCGTGCATGCCTCCACGTAGACATTCCTAGGTCGGTTCCGATGTTCCTGCCCAACCGCGTGCTGGCATCGGGAGACCCAACATCGACGGCGGCTTGGTATTACAGGCAGGTGAACTTACCTCTTCCTCCATGGCTCATCCCACCACGGCAGTCACCTTGACATCGAAACAACCCCCAAGTGGGAGGTGGAACACGTACTGCATCGACTCAGTGTTCAACCACCGCCTACAAGGCGTGGACGAAGTAAGGTACAGAGCTCGGCGTTTCGGCGATACCCAAGTGGCTGGTAGAATCCCATGTTATAGGCTTGCCACATTTAGCCTCACGAAGCCTATCCAAACCCTCACATTGGAAGTGCTTCTCGACTTTAGGGATCCCCGAGTTCCACCCACAGCCCGCTGGAAATCACTCCTTGCTTGGCTTCTTCTAATTCCGGATCTCGCGCCTCAGCGTCTTGCTTGTGGAATAGGGATCAAGGGTTTAAGATTTCGGGCGGCATATGTTACGTAGGGTGAGGGGATTCGGGAATGAGGATCAAGCTTCAAGCTGAAGAGCTTACACACCGCACCCTGATAACAAAGCTTGGCTTCGAAGCGCACCACTGTACTCACTACTCTCATAGGCTCGTGGGGTGCACGATCCCAGAACTGTCAGTTTTTTTCGATGCACCTGATACGCAGAGAAGCCTTCGGCGAATGCTACTGATACTGCCAATGAATAAGGCTCCTACCATGGGGTTGACTGATGGCCTGTGGGTCCTTTGGGTTTGGCCAACATCATCTAGAGCCACCGAATTGGGGATTACAGACTTGGGATCTCGGGAGTGGGGATCTGGCTTGGAGATCGGGCGTTTACCCCTGGCTCCTCCATACCCGTTTTTCCCGCAGGCTAGTTCTACGACTTGGACAATTTAGCTGAGCGATCAAAGATGGAAACGAGAAGACCTCAGAGTCAGACAGCACACGGCAAGAGCATTAGGAGGAGCATCATGATCATGAGGATGATGATGTTAAATGCAATGATAAAGACAATGTCGGCAAATCTGAACAAAATGGTTACGGGCAGGAGCAGCAACAGTTGGAGCTTTTGCAACACTGGTGGCAGCAACTGTAACAAAACTCAAAACAAATAGCAGCAGCACAAAATCAGAATCGCCGACACAAAAACAAGCAACGGACGACAACTAAGACGACGGCACCGGACTCTACTAGTGACTGGTTCGACCAGATTGGACACATAAGACACCGACACACTGTATAGAAACAGAAACTATGTACCGAAGTGTAGAGATTGAAGTTATGGAGTGTTGTACAAGTGCGAAATGAATGAATTACGATGGAAGGACGAATATCCAAAAACAAGCAACGGCAAGATTGCCCGATGAACGTGCATAGAACAAGCAGAGCAAGTGGCAACCAAAATGTTCGTCAACATCAGCAGCAGCATGGTCACCCGTGTCTTCTGCAGCAAAAGCACCACAACAATCGCCGTCAACATGACGACAACCTCCACCGTCACAGTGATGGAAGTTTTCTGTCATGACCATCACGACCATCGTTGCCGTCATCTTCTTACCATCAACACCGTCGCTGTGATCACAGCCGTGGTCACTGTCGTCATCCACATAAACAACATGCACGAGGAGGCGGAGGCAGAAAGGAGGAAGTGGGTACAGGCAGGAACCCTTCAGATCCAAGCCTCGGCAGCAAGAAGCCCAAACTTCGTCGAAAGCCCTTCGACCCAAACCAGTGGCATTCCAGCTTGAAAACGTTATTGTGACGCACAGTCTGCAGAAACTCAAAGGCGCACAGAACAGCGGAGATATGTGACACCACTCGGCCCTGAGAAATGGAGAATGGATGGGGGAAGGGTGTTTGAAGGGAAGTCATCCCATGACAAAGAAACTCACCGGTGGCCGGAACTGGGTGGAGACGTTCGTAGTCTCGGGGCTTGGGATGAAAGTCGTCTGGAGAACCAACAGAAGCTGCTGCCGTTGGCACCTTTTTGCTCTCTTGCTGCCGGTGTGGTCCATCTAAGCCGTGCCCGGAGAACAGGAACGACATACCAGACAATAGACCTTTAACCATAAATGCTGGCTATAGCAATGCACATCTCGGAGATGCAGGTCTCAAGAGTTCTTGCTGGGGTTCCGAGGTTCAATGAGTTTTGAGGTCCAGGTCTTGGCCTCGAGGTCTTTGCAGCGCTCTCGCAGCCCCAACGCTTTGTCAAAGTCTTCGAAGACTGTTACAATCCTATGACTCTTGCTATTACCAGCAGCATCTATCTTATTCAGGCTGCTAGTTGTGGTGATGCCTGGTGGAATTGTACACTATGCTATGGTGTCCAGGACGAGCTGCGGCTGCTATTTTCACGGACGACAGAGCCCAGGCGCAGCTGGGGTGCGTTCGGCTGCTCCTCGTCAGATTAGGGTTTACGGCTGTTCATTGCGGGGGAAATATTCGAATGACGTTCAAAATTGTCCTGGGGCTTACGGCTTTGCATACTAGGCATGGGAGCAAGTCAAAGGCGTAGTGATCAAGATTTTTGGTTTTCTGTTGCCGGTCCACTCCTTGTCGTTATGCTCACAGCCTTGTTCGCATTGCTGTACCCGTTGCCGCTGTCACGGCTGTTGATGTGCCTCCTTCTGGTTGGTGGTGCCGCGGGAGGTGGAGGTTGAAGATGCCGCCAATATGTTTAAGTTCGTCGCTGCCATCAAGGCTATCCGCTATCCCAACCGCCTTCGTCGGTCGCATTTGTAGTACCTCCGCATGCGTCCTACACCCGAACACAGCCCGTGGTCTGGCCAGGGCCAAGGGCTTGGTCGAAAAACGAGTGCGGGGTCTGCCCGGCAGGAAAAAGAGAATTTGGTACACAGGGTTTTGGAGTCTATAGATTTCCGGGAATGCAAATGCACATACACATAATACACATACCTAGTAAGCCCCTCGGCCCTAGGACCCACGCCTGCCGGCCGGACTCTACCAAAACAGCCTGATCCTGCAACTTCGTTCATCTTCTGCCTCCCACCTCAAGAACCAACTATCCTACATCTCCAGACCCAGGTAGAAACGGAAGCTGACGAAACAAAGACTGCTCCAAACTTCAGAATCCGGGCGATTGACATGGACATCGCAGCAGAAACCAACACCACCCCATAACGAGGACCGAACTCACAACTTCCTAGCGCCAGGCTCGGTTCCCAAGGCTTCACTTTTCATGACTCCCGACAGTAGTCCTAGCTTGATGTCCCGGAACTGGACTCGTTGGAACCCTTGCAACTTCGAGAGGCTCGGCAGCTTTACATTCAGGGTATTGTCGCCTTAGTACTGTCGCCATGCTTGCGAAGATGCTGCCTGCATCCTAACACGCACCACTGCAAACACTATCCAAAACGCCCGGAACCCTGTGAATTCCACGCCCTAAGCACGCGAATCCTTGAGGCAAACGTCTCTGACTGACTCTAACTGGAAATCCAACAGCGAAAGGCCTCTGCCGTTGTGCTGTCTGGCTCTGTGTGGCTGCCTTTTGCAAGAGTTCAGGGCTGCGGGTTAAGTTTGGGGCACCATCTTTCAGCAAAAAGTTTTGCAGCAGTTTCGGATCCGGACTGTCTATCCGGGCTTGGAGTAAACAGCAACAACCTCTACATTGTGTCCCCGAGATGTCCTGAGGCCGCAACGCATGACGCCGTGCATGCTGAGAGCATACAATGCGATGGCCACGAAGTACGAGGTGCTAGCAACCTTTCGAGAAGAGGGTCAGTGGTGGGAGGTGGACGTTTTAGTCAAGCACCAGCTTTCAGGGTCTGGTTAAGGGCCCAGAGTCTGAGCAAACAGACTAGGGCCGAAGTGTGAAAGAGTGAACGGCTACGTGCATATGAACAAAGCGAGCCACAGAGAGAGAGAGAGACAGAGAGAGAGAGAGAGAGAGACAGAGAGAGAGACAGAGAGAGAGAGAGAGGGGGGAACAATTCAGCAACTTACTTGAGGGTTCAAGCTCCGCTACAATCACACAATCCAAGATCGAAAGCCGCTGCATCCACATGGAATTGGGGGGGAGTTAAACTACAGCTATGCAGCGCTCTTTTTGCTCTATAAAGTTCAGGGGTTCTTCCACCTGTAAATATGCTCGAATCCTCCAGGCTGAAACTCCAAAAATTCTGAACCTCCACCCAGTCATTTTGAGGGCGGGAAACTCGGAAGCCCTGCGTTGCCAGGAGCTCCGTGCCAAGTGTAGGGCCCAAGGCCTGCGCTTCGATTTGAAGGCTCATGGTGTGAAGAGGCTTTTGGGGTAAGGATCTGTAGTGCCGGAGATGAGCCCTTCTGGGCCAAATGCCCAAAGCAGCTGTGAGGCTTGCTCTTCATGTTTGCTCCGAGGTCCTCCCCCAGGGCGGCACTCGCGTTGAAGAGTGACGACCTGGAATTTTGAGCACATGATGCTTCAGGCTCGGACTCCGGTTGTGCTGCTGCTGTGTTTGGAACTTCTACTTTCTGAGTTGGGGGTCAGGACAGAAGTTTCGGGCTTCGGATTTGACCATCAGAGTGGAGCACATCTTTCAGCTGTTGTTCACACGCTACAGAGACACACCTGCAATTCGAAAAGACGCCCGAAGTCTGTTGCGCCATGTACAGCCTCGAGGGTTATGAGCCACATAAACACCCGAAGCCGCAACACCCAAATAACCAGGCCCAAACCCATAGCCATGGCCTCAGCTATGACCTTAACTTTGCCCAAACCCCACACCCGAAAGCCCAAAAAAAACACCTCAGGGCTGGACACCGCCGGCGACACATGATGCCGAGCCGCCTGCTGCTTCAACAGCTGACTCGAAGAATCAGGATCTGAGGTTCTGGTTTGATGCCTGTGACACTAGGAGCCAATGCCTGGATCAACTGTAAGAAGCCCAGAAACAACTCTGTCAAGAAAAGCAACTCTCAGTCTGACACCGTGAAGCTGCAAAAGCCGAATCGTAGGACACGAACCTTACAAGCCCGAAGGCGCGGTCGCAGCCATGAAGCATACATGCGATAGTCACGTCGTATACCCTGCGCGCGAAGCATTCGCCGAACCCCAAAAGCACGAAGCAGGGGTTCCAGGCCTGTGCAGAGCAGCCAGTGTCCTGGCGGCAGAACTCTTGCCTATCTGATGACGTAGCCACCTTGCCAGTTAGGGAACACGAACCCCCTTTCTCCACTTCGGAAATAATTACAGAACCTTTCAGCCTTTTCAGCCCCAGCCGGGGCGTTTGGCTCTGTAGGCTGCGTGGTCGTACCTGTCGTACCTGCAAAGTGCTCTAAGCTTCAGGATCAAATATCACTGAATCCAGAAAGCAAGACCCGAACAAAGCGAAGCCGAGTCCGAAGTTCTCAACCCAGAAACTCTAACCGAAAAGATGTAGCCCGGGGTTATGTATGGCACCAGTGCCTCAACAATGAAGACCCAGACGAC